TTTTGTTTTTGTTTTAACTTGTTTTGGAGAAGCCCTGGTAGCACAATGGTTAAGCATTCCACTGCTAATCAGTAGGTTGGTAGTTCAAGCCTACCAGCGGCTCTGCAGGAGAAAAGATGTAGCAATCTCTTCCTCTAAAGATTGCAATGCCAGGGCATGTTCTACTTTGAGTTGGACTTCTGTAAGTCAGAACTGACTGGATGGCATACGATAACAATAATTCACACCGGTGGCTTCATCTTACCATTACACATAGGGAGATATAAATGTTTAGGACTTTGGGCAGGGGCTTGTTTTTAACTAACAAATGTCATTCAATAAATTGTACTCTGATTTGAATATCACTCTCCTGGTTGCTAGTCAGCAAACAAGGCAACCAATGTAGCCAGCCAGATGTTCTAAAGGTTGCCAGATAGAATCTGTGAAATAGTAGTGGCCTCTGATGCCTACCTATTAGGAAAGTTCCTCTTGGTACAGATGTGAACGACAGAGGAACTATAGGGTAACAAAGCAAAAAAAGATGCTACTCCACAAATTTTCATATAAGTTCTCATGCCAGGAAAGAGAAAAACACAGATATTTTTGTAAATGTCTACCGTTTTCTATAACAAGCTGCTTCTGAATAGCTTATGGTTTAGAATTTTAACTTCTTTTGCATCTCCACCAGTGATTCCTTCCTCCCAATTATATGCCTGTTTTTGCTTTCAATCAACAGTTTCTAATTAGAAGAGCCTTCCATCTCATCATGGCTATGCATAGAAGTGCTATTATTAACACTGAATAAACACTCTAGTCCTAATAAAACTTTAATGCACAAAATGGAAAAGTATAAATTTTGACAAATGAAATACTGAGGTATGTAACTTTGGGTTCCTGTAGGCCCAAAGTTTTATACCTTGCCAAGTTGTCTTTAAGGAATCCAGGTGGCAGAGTGGGTTATACCTTGAGCTGATAACCACAAAGTCAGCAGTTTGAACCCACTAGCTGCTCCCCAGCAGAAATATGAGGCTATCTACACATATGAAGATTTTTTAAATCTTAGAAACCCAAAGGGGCAGTTCTACTTTGCTTTTGAGGGTTGCTAAGAATCTGCTTGACGGCACTGAGTTCATTTTGGTGTTAAGTCACCTTTATTTGGAAAGATAAAAATAAAATATTCACGGATTTAAATGCATCCTAGAAAAATCTAGGTGACCTATTAACAAAGAACTATAATGCAATAATGAAATCTCAGGGGG